GTTCTCTGAAAGTTCGGGGAACACACACGGCTGCCCATTGAAATGCTTCTTGGAGGAGAGGAGCGCCCCCATGTGGCCGTATTGGGTTTCTCCTTCAGTGGCGAACTTGTGCTTGGAAGCTCTTATTGGCTGGAGAGACGGAAATTTAAGGAAGTTGGGGTTATCCCTTGAAAGTCACAGGGCCGGTAAGTGGCACAGGTGTGAGTGGAAGCTAGGATCTTACCCACTATGCTCTTTGGCCTCCCCAGTGAGGTATAGATAACGATTCTTCCTTATAACCACCCTGTGTATCACATGCGGAGAAGTGGTCCGATTTCCTGCTAATCTCTTCCCAGCGCAGCAGGCAGAGTGATAGACAGAAATGGCAATCAGATCCTGTCAGTCACCTTCTCAAATTCCTCCCGCGGCTGCCCAGTGCTCTCAGAGTAAAATCCCTGTCTGACCTCATCTATCACTCGCCTATGTGCTGACTCTGGACCAGCCACACTGGCCTTCTTACCTCCACGCACCCAGCATGCTCCCTCCTCAGGCCTTTGCACTTGCTGTTCCCTCACACTAGAATGCTTTTCCTTTAGAATCTAGATCTTGGCGGGGCTTTCCTACAGGTGTCAGTACAAATGTCATTTCTCAGAGCGGCCTTCGCTGACCTCCCGATGTAAAATAGCCCTGAGCCATGTCTGGTACAGTGCTTACTATGTATTTGTGAGGGGAATGAAGGAATGAATGCATGCACGAATGAATGAAGACACCTCAGGTTTTTTGATCATGGGAGCACCATGCCCTTCCCGCCATGTCCTCGTTTTCTGTGGGCACTGCCAGGTGACTGAGGAAGAAGCTCATTCCCGTCTAGCCCAGCGGTTCTCAATTCTGGAAGCACATGAGACTCACCTGGGGAGCTTTTAAATCCAAGGATGCTTCCAGCAAGCACCATCTTAGACCCCCTGAATCACAATCTCCAGGGACATGGCCCAAGCAACGGAATTCTGTAAGAGCTTTCACGACGAGGTTCACTCCTGAGAACCAGATTTTTAGAACTATCCTGATGTACCAGCTACCAGAAACAACTATTCAAAAGGAACATGGTCGTCATATTTCCTCAGGATCCAGGGTGGAGGGGCCCAAGGGAATTTGGAATTTTAGCAAGCCAGCTTGGTCTAAGGCGTTACTGTTTGTGGATCATTAGTGAGGAAATGAACAAATGTGCCCCACATTTTCTTTCAGACTTGATGATTGCACCAATGGACATCTGAGAGATTCCTTTTTTCAGGTCCAAATCAAACAGACCCTTTTGCCTTCTGTTCTTGTGTTTTGTTTTGTTTTGTTTTTTAAGATTTTATTTATTTATCTGAGAGAGAGAATGAGAGACAGAGAGCACGAGAGGGAAGAGGGTCAGAGGGAGAAGCAGACTCCCCGCCGAGCAGGGAGCCCGATGCGGGACTCGATCCCGGGACTCCAGGATCATGACCTGAGCCGAAGGCAGTCGCTTAACCAACTGAGCCACCCAGGCGCCCATGTTCTTGTGTTTTTCAGTGAAAATGTGACTGTGTTGTATTTCTCGGAGTATTACACTAAGCCCTACTGCAGATACGGGCCATTCCTCGTGGGCCTCTTTCTGAGCATTTTCATGCACCAAAACCACCAGGCAAACATTCTTAAAACCAAGGTAAGCTTGCCCCATACCTCACTGTAAGGGCTGGGTCTGCTTGGGACTGGAGTGGCCCATTTGGCCAGGCTCGTCAAAAGCCATGGGCAGGAATCAGACTGCTCAGTACTTTATTGGGCTGTGGTGTGTTAGCAATGTTTCTTGGTGCTAGAGAATAAGAGAGACCTTATTTTCTTGCCAGAGCCTGATTCTCTGCTTTCCTCACTGAGTGCCTTTAAGAAAGCTCCAGAACTGAAACACAGTGGTGTTCCATCCATTGGAGTCTCGGTACAAACCCAGAGAACTCACTGATATGGGAAAAACATACCCAGTGAGTTTTTGCACCGGCAAGGCCCTCTTCTGGAAGGGCATAGTTACTTTTTAATAGCACATGCTCCTTGGTTTCTATAGACAGGATTCTTGGTCAGATTCAGTGGCTCCATCTGGGCATCAAGACACAAGGTGTCTAAGGGGAAAAGAAGCTGTCACTTTGTCTTCCAGGTAAAATTGCTTCCCTGGCTCCTTTGTGGTTAATCATTCTGGTTCGCCATCCAACCTCATTACTCAAGCCGGAAGCCTGTGTTCATCTTTGATACGTCCTCCTCATTGACCCCTCCTCCCAGGCAGTCCTTCACCAAGCCCCCCTATTGTTTCTTTTGCTGTCCTCTTAGCCTGTCCAACTAACCTCACTGAAGCTCTTCTCATCTCTTGCCTGGACTTCTTGTCTTGTCCATCTCAAATCCACCCTTGGGGCAATCTATTTAAAACACTACCTTGGTGTTGCCCTTGAACTGTGCAAAAGCTCTTCATATGGCTTTCATTGACCCATATGACCTTGAGGGTAGACTATGTCTTACTTATCTCTGAATCCCCAACATCTGGTTCTGAAATCACTGAAGGCACTTATTGGTGAATGAATGAAAGATAATGTGCTTTTCAATGGACGAAGGGCCAAGAATTCCTTTGCACTATTAGGGTACAGTGATAGCCCCAAATCTTCTCTGCTAAACCCTACCTTTGTTTGCCTAGGTCTTGTGGGTACCTCACCTAGATGCTTCGGAGAAGAGGCCCTTGTCTTTGGAAAATCTTGTGTTGCTCACGGTAGCAACAGGAGGAGATAGGGCTTCACTAGACAGAATGGATATACAAGGGCTACATGACTTTTCCTGTACGTTGGAGTTTCCCCTAAAAATGCACAATTCAGTTGTAGATTACAGCAGAGTGCCATTATGTCATCCAGGTTCCAGAGTGCCCAGGGAGCAGAGGGGAAACCTAAGACGATGACAGAGCATTTGCAAACACTCCAAAGGTTGAGTCAGGACCAGGGAATATGAAGCCAGAACACAGGTCAAGCTGAGCTGGAGAAACAAGGTAGAAGGGATGGGTAGACCAAAATTAAACCTCTAGAAGCCAGAAAATAAGAACACAGAGTCCAAGCTTGAGGCAGCTGGGGCCAATGCCCTATGCTAGGAATGAGACGAGGTAGGGTGCATTATCAGTGAAAGAGTGAAGGGGATCCTAGCCTAAAAGAGGGGGCTTGTGGAGACCCCCCCAAGGAAATGCCTTTACTCCCATGTAGCCAGAGCCTAGCACAGGGATCTGAGGCCAAGGAGGGGAGAGCTTCTCTTTAGAGACTAGACAGTAGACTGATAAGATGCTAGTTCATTCATCATAGCAACTTGGGAACTGGAACAGAGAAGCAAGAGAGATTCTTAGAAGACAGATGTGAGTCTAAAAAGGTCGAGTGAGGTGACATAAGATCTAAGATCTTGAACTGAACCCAATAATAGAATTTAACCCATGGGGCTCTTCTCTGAGCTGGAAAGTTCTCCGTTCTCCCATTCCCGCTGCCATTTTATGAGCCCAGTGACTAGGGTGCCGCCCAGGGACAGACCTGAGCCAAAAGCCCTTGCATTGCTGGTGGGCACGGAACCAATGCAGGAGCCTTATTAGGTTAAGGAACAGAATGGGAGGTCAGAGGTGGGTCAGAACATTATCTTTTCTTTTTTCCCTTCTAACTTTCGTTTAATAGTTATTTGAGATTCACAGCAAGTTGCAAAAATAGTACAGAAGGTCTTATGTACCATTGACCCAGCTTCTTTCACTGGTAACGTGCAACCAAGAAATTGACATCAGCACAATCCATAGGTCTTGGAGCCACCAGTTTTATGGGCACTCAGTTGTGTGTGTATATAGTTTTGGGCAATTTTAGCACATGGAGAGTGGTGTAACCACGACCACAAGCAAGGCACACGACTCTGCTGTCACCACAATGATCTCCCTTGTGCTAACTCTTTACGGTCACGCCCCCCACTGTCCCCTACCCCCCCCCAACCCTAGCCCCTCATAACCACTAGTCTGAACCTTCTCTTTTAGTCAAAGCTGGGCACTGATGGAGGTTTACAAATAGATACCTGAAGTGACACTAAAAAGAGAAAAAACTGAATTAGTGCAAAAGGAAGTAAATATGCCATGTCCTCAATGAGCTTGACCCACGTCGCTCCTTTCCCCGTAGGTGCAGGCCACGCTGGGGTGGATTTGCTGCCTGTCTACCCTGTTCATAGTGGTCGCCCTGGCGTACGTGGTGGATGACGCCCCTGCCACCTCCTCGCCGGCCGCTGTTCTGTACCAGGCCCTCCACCGGACCCTGTGGGCGGCGGCCGTGGGCTGGGTCATGCTGGCATGTCGGGAAGGCTACGGAGGTATGATGAGGCACAGACTATTGCTCATGGGCTCATGCTGTGTCCCTTTAAAGGCGACCAACGTGAAAACATGGCGTACACAGAGGGGCTTTTTTATTTGCTGGAGTGGTTGGTGAATGACTGATAATTGACTCAAAAACAGCAACTTGTTCATGTCCTGGGGGAGAACTGCCCGCATATTCTGTTTTAGATTTTTGCCCTGGTTTATGTGCAAATGCAGGTTCTGAAAGAAAAATCTGCAGCCTTTCCAATGAAGCTAGTTTCGAAGCTGGAGGAGGAAGACAGGGTCACGCAGTGAGAACAAAATACCAGTGCTGGAGACAAAAGTTCTGGTCGCGCTCACCCTGGGCCTCAGTTTCCTTACCTAAGGCTATATAGACTGAGTAATTCCCAAGATCCCCTCAGCCCTTTGATAAGCGGGGAAACTGTCTCTACTGAGTCCGTCTGTCAATGTGTGGAAAAGTCAAGCAGAAGGGGCTTAAATGGAAAGAAAGGGATTTTCTCCAGATTAGAAATGTCTAGTTGTAGAAAAATTAAGTCAACAATGAGCACAGGTAAACCAAACACAAAAGAACATTCCTAAAGCAAACAATATCCTGTTCATGTTGCGAGCTACAATTTGGCTCCAGCCAACTACTAATCACATTGACTTAATGTTGTTAATTCAGATATTATTGGTTTTATAGTTTTATGGTCACTCTATTATCTTTTTTAAAGATTTTATTTTTAAGTAATCTCCACACCCAACCTGGGGCTCGAACTCACAACACCAAGATCAAGAGTCACGCATTCTACCGACTGAGGAAAGTGGTAGTCAGGTCATGCAGGGTCTTCACGGCCATGGGGGAAAATTCGGATTTTATTTTAAACGTCATGTAACATCATCTGACCTGTGATTTAAAAGATTACTTTAGATGTTGCATGGAGACTGTAGGACAGCAAGAAGGAGAGCAGAGAGACCAACAGATCCGTTAGGAAGCCACTGTAGCGGTCCATGGAGGAGGAATCCATGGTGGATTCGATGAGGGGGTTTGCGGAGGAGATGGGGAGAAAGGGTTCAATTTGAGATAGGTAGTTTTAAGGATAGATTGGCAGCGCTCTGTGGGATATGGGAGAAAGAACAGAATCTGGGATGGCACCAAAGATTTTGTCCTGAGCAACTGAAACAACTCGAGATGAGGTTCATGGAAAGGAGAGACAGAAGTTTTTTCTTTTTCTTTTCTGTTTTCTTTTCTTTTCTCTCTCTCTCTCACTTTCCCTCTTTCTTTCTTTTTTTTTATTATTTATTTTCTTTTTTAAAGATTGTATTTATTCATCTGAGAGAGAGAGAGAGCACATGAGAGGGGGGAGGGTCAGATGGAGAAGCAGACTCCCTGCTGAGCAGGGAGCCTGA